TTTTTTTTGTGAATTAGAGTCTCACTCTGCCACCCAGGCTGGAGTGCAGTGGCATGATCACGGCTCACCACAGCCTTGACCACCTGGGATCAGGTGATCCTTCCACCTCAGCCTCCCTAGTGGCTGGGACTACAGGTATACACTACCACATTCAGCTAATTTTTAAATTTTTTTAGAGACGAGGTCTCGCTATGTTGCCCAGACTGGTCTCAAACTCCTGGGCTGAAGGGATCCTCCTGCCTCAGCCTCCCAAAGAGCTAGGTTTATGGCATGAGCCATCATGCCTGGCCTTTTCTTCTTCTTCTTTTTTTTTCTTTTTGTGTTGGAGTCTCACTCTGCCACCCAGGCTGGAGTGCAGTGGCACGCTCATGGCCATCGTAGCTTCGACCTACTGGACTCAGGTATTCCTTCTGCCTCAACCTTCCAAGTTAACTGGAACTATAGGTACACACTCCCATGCCCGGCTAATTTTTTTATTTATTGTAGAGACGAGGTCTTGCCAAGCTAACCAGACTGGTCTCGAACCCCTGGGCTTAGGCTATAATACTCTTGCCTCAGCCTTCCAAAGTGCTGGAATTACAGCTTGAGCTACCATGCCCGGCCTTCTCCTCTTCATCTTCTTTTTTTAATTTTTAAAAAATTTTTTTTATTTTTTATTTTTTTGAGTTGGAGTCTCACTCTGTTGCCCAGACTGGAGTGCAGTGGCCGCTCCCAGCCACCGCAGCCTTGACCTGCTGGGCTCCGGCGATCCTTCCGCCTCAGCCTTCCAAGTAGCTGGAACTACAGACGCGCACTACCATGCCCAGCTAATTTTTTGATTTATTGTAGAGATGAAGTCTTGCCTGCCCAGGCGGATCTCGAACCCACGGGCTCAGGCAATCCACTCACCTCAGCCTCCCAAAGGCGCGGGATTACAGGCTGAGCCACTGAGCCTGGCTCGTCCTCTTTTTTTTAAAGCAGGATTTACTGAGAGGACAGAAAAGCTCCCACAGTGGGAGGGGTAAGGGGTTTGCCCAAAATGTAATTTTTTTTTTTTTGAGTTGGAGTCTCACCCTGTCACCTCGACCCGCTGGACTCCGGCGATCCTTCCACCTCAGCCTTCCAAGTAGCTGGAACTACAGGCGCGCACTACCACGCCTGGCTAATTTTTTGATTTATTGTAGAGATGAGGTCTCGCTGCCCAGGCAGATCTCGAACCCACGGGCTCAGGCAATCCACTCACCTCAGCCTCCCAAAGGTGCAGGATTACAGGCTGAGCCACTGAGCCCGGCGTGTAATTTTTTTTTTTTTTAGTTGGAATCTTACTTCGTCGCCCATGCCAGAGTGCAGTGGCACACTCATGGCCATGCCAGCATTGACCTGCTGGGCTCCAGCAATCCTTCCACCTCAGCCTTCCAAGTAGCCAGAACTACAGGTGCATGCTACCACACCCAGCTAATGTTTTTGATTTATTGTAGAGACGAGGCCTCGCCAAGTTACCCGGCTGGTCTCAAACCCACGGGCTCAGGCAATCCACTTGCTTTGGCCTCCCAAAGTGCTGGGACTAGACAAGAAAGAAAGACAACCCAAAACTCACCATCCACTATTGACCTGTCTCCAGCCCTGTCCTCTGAGCCCCAGACCAGGTGCCTAGCATTTTCCAGAACACTTCACGACCCTAGGCCCAGCAGACCCTTCACATCCTGCACTGGCCCCAGCATCTTCCCCATCTCATGCTTCCAGGCCTAAAGCACTCTCCACTCCCGGCCCCGTCATCATACTCCTGGGGACTGATGACATTGTCACTGTGGCTTTCCATACCTCTGCCTGCTCTTTGTCAGGGATGGTCCCTTCATTAAATTCTCCTTCACACATTTGGGAGGCCATGAACCTTCTACCCGATGCAGCTACTCGTAGTGAATTAGAAAGAGGTGTCCCTCCTCCAGACAGAGGGAGCGACACACAGCCAGATTCCAGCCCCCTCCTACCCTTGGGTCGGGTGCCCTTGTGCTGGGCTTAGCCTATCCCGGGACACACCACAGCTCTGTGTTTTGGGCTTCTTTTTTTTTCTTCCTGGTTTTTGGTTTAACTTGTGTGTTTCTGTTGTGGACAGAGCCACGTTTTTGGAAAAATGCCTTGTGAGTAGAGGTCTTATTTATTTAATTATTGAGATAGGGTTTCACTGTGTCGCCCAGGCTGGAGTGTAGTGGCATGATCACGGCGCACCTCAGCTTCGACTTCCTGAGCTCAGACAATCCTTCTGAATCCCAAGTAGCTGGGACTACAGGAGCATGCCACTCTGCTTGGCTAATTTTTTTTTTTTTTTTCTGATAGAGACGAGGTCTCGCTATGTTGCTCAGGCTAGTCTTGAACTCTTGGGCTCAAGTAATCCTCCTACCTCGGCCTCTCAGAGTGTTGGAATGACAGCCACCAGGTCTGGCTCAAGCAGAGTTCTTTTTTGTTTGTTTGAGTTGTAGTCTCACTCTGTCACCCAGGAGTGCAGTGACACACTCATCTCATGGCCACCGCAGCATCGACCTGCTGGGCTCTGGCAATCCTTCCACCTCAGCCTTCCAAGTAGTTGGAACTACAGGCACGTACTACCACACCTGGCTAATCTTGATTTATTACAGAGACGAGGTCTTGCCAAGTTGCCTGGGCTAGTCTTGAACCCGCAGGCTCAGGCAATCCACTCACCTTGGCCTCCCAAAGTGCTGGAATACAGGCTGAGCCACTGAGCACGGTGTTTTTTTTTTTTTTTTTAATTGTAGAGACGAGGTCTCACCAAGTTGTCCGGGCTGGTTTCGAACCCGCGGGCTCAGGCAACCCACTTGCCTCAGCCTCCCAAAATGCTGTAATACAGGCAGAGCCACCAAGCCTGGCTGCATTGTATATTTATAACTTGTTAATGAACCCCCTCCCCCACTAGCAACGTCAACTCCATGAAGGCAGGAGCCCTGACTTGCTCATGACTGTGCCCAGAGCCCAATGCCCAGATGCCCAGCCCTCAATGCCCAGAGCCTTGCACAGGGTAGGTACTCAATAAATATTTGTGGAACAATGGAATCAAAGAAACTTTGGCATTATGTGCAACATTTTGTGCATGTGTGCATTCCCCTGGGGCGAGCACCAGGGAGCTCTAAGTTATTTTTGTTTTTGTTTTTTGTTTGGTTTTTTTAGCTGGAGTCTCACTCTGTCGCCCAGACTGGAGTGCAGTGGCCGCTCCCGGCCAACGCAGCCTCCACCTGCTGGGCTCCGGTGATCCTTCCGCCTCAGCCTTCCGAGTAGCCGGAATTACAGGCACACGCTACCACGCCTGGCTAATTTTTTGATTTATTGTAGAGATGAGGTCTTGCCTGCCTAGGTGGGTCTCGAACCCGCGGGCTCAGGCAGTCCACTCACCTCAGCCTCCCAAAGGCTGAGCCACAAAGCCTGGCTTTGTTTTTGTTTTTGAGTCAAGGCCTCATTCTGATGCCCAGGCTGGAGTGCAGTGGCGCAATCACAGCTCACCGCAGCCTCAACCTTCTGGTCTTTGGTGATCTCCCGCTTCAGTCTCCTGAGTAGCTGGGACTACAGGTGCACACCACCATGCCCAGATAATTTCTTTGATTTATTGTAGAGCCAAGGTTTCACCAAGTTGCCCAGGCTGGTCTCGAACTCCTCGGCTCAAGCAATCCTCCCGCCTCAGCCTCCCAAATTGCTGGGATTACAGGTGTGGTGAGCCACTGCGCCTGGCCTGGAAGCCCAAAGCTTACGAACTCCAAAAAGTCAGTCCTGGAAGACCTTGTAAAGATCACAAGACAGAGGAGAATCCCTTCCCCTCCCTCAAGACAGGATGTGAAAAGGGAATATGGGGTCCAGGCAGAGGCTGGGAAGGAACTCAGGAACCATTTACAGGTTGGTGGTTGTGTGGGAGAGGAACCCAAGGCTCCTTCCTGCCCCACCTCCCTGCATTGGGGTGAAGGCGGTTCCAGGCTCCCTCCCCCAGTCGCTGAGGTCGAAACCAGACAGAAACAGACACAGCGATTTGAAAGACAACTGGAAACACTCTTTATTAAACAGAATTCAACACCGGGCCCCAGCCCTGAGCCAAAACCCAAACAACTTAAAATCTGACTGGGCTGTTTTTTTCTTTGCCCCTAAAATAAAATCTAGGCTGATGCCATTCCCTTGTGGGCACTGGAACCCTGTTGGAGTTTCGTCAACTTACATGTTGGAGGATGAAAAATGCAGGAGAAAAAAAAGTGACCTTTAGCCAACTATCGTGATGGGGGCAGGGGTGGGAGGTGGCTGAGAGACACATCTCTCGATGGAAAAAGGGCCCATTGGTGATTTGGAACTGGGGGCAGGAGCTGAGGGCAGTGGGCTGAATAATCGGAAGAACAACCAGGGGGTGTTGAGACAGGGTGTTGGCTCACCCCAAGGCTCTCCATCTCCAGCTGAGCTTGCAAAGACTGGGTGCTTTCCCCTTAATGTGTCCCCCAGCTCCTGATGGATGGGTGCTGAGGGCAGGGCAGGAATGAACCAGCGTGGTCCCTGATGACACCATGAGTCTGCAGGAAGCTGAACAAGGTGGAGAAGACTGGTCTCAAGTCAGCATCTCGTCTTGAAGTTCTTGGATGGTGGGTCTGAGCCAGTCTTGTTCAGGGGCTGGCCTGGGACAGCTCCGTGGGGTCCCGAGGATCCAAGACCTCCACAAGGAACAGAGGAGTCGAAGGGGTAGGACCAGTGTCACCATCAGGTCCTGGATGGACGGAAGATCTGTGAACTGTGGCCCAGACGTGTCACAGGGCCGTGCAGTGAAAAGGACAGGGCTCCCTGGGACACCCACAGGCCGGATCACCGAGGTCTGAGAGGTCCAAGGATCAGGGCTGGTTGGCGCCCCGCAGCCTCTACTGTTTCAGAAGCAGGCAGGCTGGGGGCCAGAAACTGAGGGGCTGGGTGAGTGGAGGAGGGGTCTAGGGACTTGGTGGGATTGGACCGGGAGGGCTAGGGGTGTGGGCGTGGGCATCTCACGGTGCTCAGCGCTTGACCTTGCGACCAGCCGAGTTGCGCCTGCTGTGGTGGTAGAGAGACTGCTGGCCACCGTTGAGCGGGCAGTACTTGAGCGTGTGGGCCTGGCCGCCGGTGGCCCCGCACAAGGGACACACATAGTGCCTCAGGATGGGACACACCACCACGCCCTCTGAGGTCTTCAGCTGGTGTGAGGAGTAGACGTGCCGGGATTCCCCATTGTGCTTGCAGAAGTTGCACAGGGTGGCCTGGCCCCCGCCGGCCCCTGGCCCC